TGCAACTATTGACATTTCAGGACCATTTGCAAAATGAATATGAATCCTGATTTTCATCTGAAAACTTTTTGTGGACATCCTTTATATCAGCATCCATTATAAAATGGGTGTCAGCAGTGTGGGGAAAAAGTCTTGGAGGCAATAGTGGAGCATTTAGTTTTCTTTAAAGAATACTGCATTACCATGTGCTCCTGGTAGCAGAGGGGATGATATTGTGTGGGAAAACTTCGATTGAAAACTCTGAGTTGAAAAGTGATTCAAAAGAATGTTCTCTGAATGTGAAGGCATTTTAGAAATACTTTCATAACTTATTGTGCTTACACAGTAGTGTTAGATAAAAATATCTATTTTAAAGAACTGAATCAATAAGTATATAAGTTAATGATAAGAAACCATTGTACCATAATTTTATTTCCCCTCTCTCTCTTTGAGACTAGTAATAGGCTGATGATGCATTTTACTCTCAATGACTTCTTAAATTTTATGAAATATGGCAACTTGCTTCTTGCACACTTAAAAAATGCTCAATATTTATTGTGTAAATGAAGCCAAGGTTTCCTTCTTAGAAGGCCTTCTTACAGTACATACCATGAGATTAACTTTGAAACAACTTTCTCCATTCTAGTTTCAAATAAGATTTATAAAAAATGGTTGAGTGATTCCAATGTTCTTGAACTGAATTTTCATTTCACTGTTTGGTACTATGCAGTGAAATTAACCTTTTTCTCAAAAAGGTAAACTTTTGGTAAGGAGATGAGCTTTGTTTTATTTTGTAATTATTTAACCATATACTGGAGTAGATGGCTAAACACTTCCCTCCTCCCCTTTTTTTGAAACAAAGTAACAGTTTCTAATAGTACCTTAGACAGATTGAGAGGTTAGCTGGTGTCAGAAAAAAAAATTGTATGGAATATATAAGAACCCATCTACTAGTAAAAGAGTATTTTTGCCATTTTGACACCTTTTCTTCACTTTGTGACCCTCTCAGTTTTGAAGTTACATGTGTTTTGAATTTAAATTATATACATATGCAAAAAAATTAAAGTTATTAATATTTATTCTCAGTGATTTTACACATCTAAAAATTGATGTAACAGCAAATCAAGTACATACTTCCTTCATATTGCATTCAGAAAAGTACTAAAGAGTCATTATGGTAGAATTTGCAAGGATGAATCGAATGCTTTAAAGAACTTGAATCTCTTGTTGGCAAGAGACTGGGCATTAACGGTATTGGTATCCCCACTCTGGATTTGTGTGGTGCTGTGATTTAGATGTTAAGAGCATAAGTTTTGGAATCCATCTTGATCTGATTTTAAATCCTAGTGCTGCTCCTTTGTCAACGCCTACAAGGTACTTTACCCTTTCTAAGCCTCAGCTTTTTTCAGGTGGTTGGTTGTGAGTACATAACCCACTGTAGAAGTTCAATACTTGTTAGCTGATTGTAGTCATCATTATCACCACCATAATTCTCATCTTCATGTCAGTGTTGTGAAAGAACTTTGATTTTGGTGTTAAATATACCCAGCAGGATTCCAGTTCTGCCTCTGATATTTATTAGGTATGCAATATCACATTGTTTACTCCTTGGCTCCTCATAGGATGTCAGGCTGAATTTAGGATTTTTACTCCTCTACAGTTTTCCCATTTTTGAGTTGTTTGTACTAGAAATCTGGGAGTCATTCTCTCCCTTTGTCTTGGTCTTTTTTCTTTCTCACTCACTTGCCTACCTTTTATGTCCAATTCTACCTCTTCTCTCAAGTCTGCTCACTTCACTTCCATTGCCACCAACTGTCAAAATCGTCACCACTTCTCTCTCACACTACTGCTGGGCCACCTAACTACACGTGGTATTCAGCTTTGGCTAATTTCAGTCCCTCATCCACAGAATAGCCTGAGTAATATTTGGAAAACATATCTGATTCTCTTCCTTCCTCCCTCTCCTCCTTGTTCAAAATTTCTCAGTGAATTCCTTTACATCTGAATAAATACCAAAATCCTTAATATATCACCTGTATAACTTGGTGCCAGCCTCCTTCCTTCTCTGGCTTCATTTCCCTTGTGCTCAGTGATTAACACATGGCCTTCTTTTATTTCTTCTTTTGACCCAAATTCCTTCTTGTCTCAAGTCTGCCTGTAATCAGGGTTGCTCCCTCTGCCCACACCACTAGCCTTTGCCATACTTTTGTCTATACTATTACTTTGCCTCCTTGAAATGTGGGCTCATATGATAATTCTTTCAGGAAGCTTTTTTAATCTCTCAGATTAAGTTGCAGCTCTCTGTTATGTGCTGTTATATAAATGCTTTCTCTTTGTAATGTTTAAATTCCCATTTAATACCTTCCTTCCATGAGTGCATGCCTTTTGAGTCCATGTTCTGTTCACTGCTCAGTTATTGCAGAGGTTAGCACAGTACTCCTGGACTCATGAGTACTTGGTAAGTATTTGTTGAAAATGTGTATTCTTGTTGAAATGGAAGAACACTACTTGCCTCATAGAATTGATGTAAGAATTAAATTAGGACATAAATGGTATCTTATTGTATATTATGTGATACATAGTGAGTTGTAGTATTTGTTCCTTTCTTCTTTTCCCCTATGTATTAATCATTAAGAAAGGCCTACCAGTAATTTTCAAACTATAGGTTGTGAAGCACTATTGGATAATGGAATCAGTTTAGTAATTCTTGAAATGAATTTTAAAAATGAAATGGAATAGAATAAGAGTTATCAGAAAAAATTACATATAGCAAGAAAAGTATTGTTCCTGAAACATTTGGTCTGTGGGTGTGTGTATGTATCAGGTGGATAACATATTTCTTAATGTGGATAATGGGCAAAAGAGGTTTGAAAGCCACTATTGTATCTGTAGCTCAGTCTAGTGTAGCCTCTGGGCAACACTGTGTTAAGTTAGGGCAGATAAATGAGGATATACCCAGCTCTGCAAGCAGTGTAATCCCACAAAGCCTTTCTGACTTGTTACAGCCTTCAAGGTCCTAGAATCCCCCTTCGGTATCAGTGGCATCACCCAAACTTCTGGCATCACTAAATCCCCCACTTATATAGAGCCTATATCTATTTTTAACCTGTATGTTTTTTAAAGGAATTTTTTATTTCTGTATGTTGTAAATGATGGCTGTTTCCACTTCATTGAAAAGATATCTCCAATATTGTTAGTATTTATTATGGTGACATCTGTCATATAAACTATATCATGATGATGTTAACGTTATATCATGTCTGTCATAATGACATTCTCTAACAGCTCAAATTACTGCTCTTATTAAATTTTATTGCCCTGGTGACTTTATAGGCTAATATTATTAGTTTGATAAAATCAACTGCTATAAAGATAAATAAAAACCCAGTTTATATGTTGGGTCATAGACCCAGACAAAAGGAAACCAAAGCTTTTAAGGATTAAGATGATAATAGTTATTATTGTGGTAGCTTAGTAAGTGATTCCATTTTAAAATGGTTTTTATATAGATTTGATAAACATTTATATAACTGAACTATGATTTTCTTCTTTAAGGCTAGTGGTCAGTTCCAAACCTTTGATGCTGTTGGCGTTCTCTGCATTAATCATTGTTTTATATTCTTGTCTCTAAGGATGCATAAATTATGATAATAGAAGCAAGGGGTGGGCTGGAGCTTGTGGTTGCTGCTGTGTTATTGTGTCCACTGGGATGGCATTTTGTGTGCTTGTCCTCTGCAGATTGTTGAGCTAAGGAACTAGATCCTGTCCCCTGCAAAGCTAGAGACAACAATGAATTTTAAAAGGCATGAGAACGCAATCCTGTTAAGTGGTCTATTTGGAACTCTTACAGACTTGATGGGACAGAATTATTATGGGGATATTATGAAATCTCACACGAGCATAGTTTATCTCCTTCCTTACAGTTAATCTGTTTTTGTAGGCATTAGTGGCAAATGCTCAAGTAATTGAAATTGTTACCTCTCATCTTCCATAAGGAAAGAATGTGCTTAAGTCGGAGTTGTTTTCATATTACTGATTTCTGCCAGCCATTGCAGAATAGTGCTCTAGATGCTGTCCTTTTCTTAGACAGGAGCTAAGTAATGGTTTCTTCTTTAGTCTTTACATTCTTTTTCATTTTAAAAGTGTGACATTTATTCTTGAATATTTGGAAAGAAAAATTTTAAAATGCATCATAAAAATTTCCCAATACTCAGAGATAATTCCTGTTATTTTATTATGTATATTTTTCAGTCTGTTGACTGTTTATACATGAGAGAATAATGTGTATATTTTTTATGAATTTGAGATGAAATGAATATTTTTAAGGAAAATACACATTACTAAGTAAGTGGAGAAGAGGGAGAAAATGTACCTGGAACAATATTCACGAGGAATTTGATAAAGTTGTCTAAACACTGTTTCTAAAAAGTTGCCAGTTCCAGATGGTTTGGCTAGTCAGTATGCACATCTTTTCAGAGAATGCCTGTGCTATTTAAACTGTTCTGAAATATGTTTCTCAGTGATATGCTTCTTCACTTTACTAAGTTGTAACCCAAATACAAAAATGATGACAAAAAAAAGTACAGGCCAATCTTAAGAGTTATTACTTAGGGAAGGTAATAATCTCTGGTCTTGAAGGCCAATGATTGGCTCTAAATCTTGTCCTTGCCACTTATTTTGAGACCTCATTAATATAGGCTCTAAATCTCAACTATGTCATCTCTGAAATGATGCAGGTAACAACTGGAGTTGTTCATAGAGAGACTGGGTATTTCTGGAAGAGGATAGTAATCTTTCTATGGAATCCATAAAGTTCTGCCAGCAGTGACCTGCTCCTTCTAGACTTGAGGGACCATCGCAAGTGAAAGACCAGAGAGCCATCTATAGCCTCCACAGGCTATGTTTTGCCCCCAAGAGTGGGTAGGAATAGAGTTAGCAGGAGTACTGCTATCTGTGTTTAGAAAACCGCTATTTTCTTCTTTCATGCAATAGTCTTAACTTTTTCTCTGGATTGTGTTGAGGATTTGGATTTTAAAGTAGTATGTGAAAGAAAGTTCTTTGAAGACTGCACAGTGTTTTGTGAACTCAAGGTAACATGATGTTTTGGCTCTATTCAAGAGACTAATGAAATGAATCACTTAGTGGCCCTCAATGATAGTTTTACAGGGCTAGGTGATTATATTCTTCCAAATTATTTTCTAACATTTGTTAGATTTTTATTACAGATACTTGATCCAGATTTTTGACACTAAATATTCTCAATTTAAGAAAAGGTTGTATTAAATAAATTTGCAAAATACTTATTTGTCTTTATAAATCTCCTTAAAAATAGCTTCATCCATAGCATTTAATGTCTTTGACTAGCCCAGGACTTCTGTAGATTAGCTAGGCTTTTTCAACCTTTTTTTGAAAGCCATTTTCAACCCTTGTTTGTTTATTTTTTTGTTTGTTTTGTGGGGAGAGCTTGTTCAAGTACTCTACAAACTTGAAGTTAAGTTTGGGGAATTAATTTAACCTATAAGATTCATGTATAACTTAATAATTATAGTGCCTACCTAGTAGGATTGTTGTGAAGTTTAAAAAAGAAAATGTTTTAAGTCACTTTGGGGCCCATTGCCAAATAGGTCCTCAATCATTGTTTCCTTTTCTCTTTATCCTCTGAACATATTGCTGTGAGTTTTCCTATTCTTTTTGAGTTACTATTATAGTTTTGTGTTTTTGTACAGATTGCTAGATTGTCCTGAGAGACTAAATTATAGATATGTGTAGCCTCCTCATTTTGTTAGATATGCTATAATAAAGAAGAATAAGGTATTTTGAAAAATAGGATAGGTCATAGCAATATGTACTTTTAGGAATTCTCTTAGAAAGCATGCATTTATTAAAATTAAAAAAAGTCCCCCTTTTTGTCTGCGTAGTGGGAAAGGGGTAGTTATTAGAAGTTCTTCCTGATCTGCAGCATAATGATTGTTTGCGATAAATGACTTTCTGATCTTTCTGAATTCGATTTGTTTAGTATGTTGCAGTTGTTTGTAGTCATGTGAATTTATTGAAGCAGTTATGTGATCAAATATGTATTTGGGGGGGGTGTCAGGCTTTACACATTTGCTGATTATCTAGTTAGGAATACTGCTTATGCTGGTCAATGATTCCTGCTGATTTAAAAACAGAAGGTGCATCTGTAGATAGTGCTTAGATTGTATAAAATTGGTTGCATTAGCATCTGACACTGCAGGAGAGCAAATTATATCTTGAACGAATAATTTTAAAGAATACAGCTGTTTGTGATATCTTTGTTGTGAAGGTATTATTTTATTTTCATCATCTTAGTTTCAATAAGATTTAATTGTCTACCTAGCCACATCAGTTCTTTTCTAGTGGGATTTAGTCTTTATAGGTTGAATTGTTCTTAGTTTTATATCTTTACTTTAAGGAATTTTCATTTACTTTTTTTCCAGGTACAGTTGGGATCATTGCTAACCTCACAAAAACATCATTCAATTAATAATATCTAACTGATCAGTTTTAAAAATAGTGTATTAGTATTAATATTATAATAATAATGTATCTTTAGTTCATGTTTAAGTATTTTTCTAGCATCACTTGAACACAAGAAACTAGTGTGTATTGTTCTATTAATAAAGAAGTGATTGTTCTCTGACTTGTTTCAATTGTGTGAATCAGAGAGCAATGTTTTTTTAGCATGACACTTTGGGAACTGCTACTTGGTTAGGATACTTTTGTTCCAAGGTCTCTTTGAGTCCGTTCCTATTAAAAGTGAAATGTGACAATCTGTAGAACAATGAGAATATTTGAACAATACAATATTTGTATTATTATTGTATAGCTTTGAGGAAAACTTCATACTGTGTCTAATTGAATTTATTATGCTTGATGAATTCTTTAAACTGAAGAGTACCTTTTTTGTTTACTTGACCATTGAGTTTACGTTTCTAAGTATATGTAAAAGATACAATAAAGTATGTACATATGCTGAAATATACAATCTGAAAGATAATAATACAGTAGTTACAGTGTAGCATTGTCAAAGAAATACCGCTAAAATTACATTTTTAGTAAGTTAGGTTCTAATTATAGATGGTAGCAGAGGAAGGAGTAAAAAGTATCAAATTAACATTTGCTTTCATTAACAGTTCCTGTGAATTTTTATAAAAGAATTGATCACAGTGATTTTTTTTTTTTGGGCAAATTATCAATGTCTGTATTACATATTTCCTTAAGAATGCCTTAAAGTGTCATGTTCAGAAACATATTATTAACTTAAAATAGTGTTCTTTCCCTTTTTCAAGAGAACAAATAATTTAGCTGCTTGATACTAGTTACATTATGTAAATTATTTTGGTAAGTGTAACATTATGTAAAAAATCTCCAAAGTAGTTATATGAAAATTTATATCAGTGAAATAATTTTTGTTAGGTTATGCAAGAATATTACTATGAATGAAGTTTAGTGATGATTGCAGCAGCCTCAAATAAGAATTTATTTTCTCTTAATATTGTAACTATTGAGAGAAACATTTGCCTACGTGACTCTTTTTTAAATCTAAGCTTTGGAAAAGAGAGGGAAGCTGTGAGATTGAATTTTGAGGGCTTGGTAAAAATTTGGATTGTGTCCCTGTGGAACTCTCTTAAAACTTGGTATTTCATAAGTATAAAGGAAAGCTGGTAAAAATGTCTGACCACTCTGCTTTTGCCTAATATTTTCACTTGCTACACAGTCCAGTACCTGTTAGGATTTGTTGTACATTTGTTGGATAAAGGTGTATAAAGTCTTTTTTCTTTGGGTCTAAGGAAATTTGACCCAATATATTCTGGCATGTTCTTCCAAATATCACCAGCTATGCCATGTCATATTAAATGGGTATTAAGAAACATTAAAAACTTTTCCCAAACATTTTTTAGAAGAGGGTGGCTTTGCCTGCTGCTCTTAGGAGTCCGGAGTAAAATGGCTGTCACCAGAAACAATTGGCTATCCACTTGAAAAGTTTCCTTGATTTTCAGTGATGTACTCATTTCACATGATTATTAACTATTTTGATATCTTCTTTTGTGACACTTTACCTGTTTAAAAACTTTTTTTTTTTTTTTTTTACCTGTTTTTCTATTTCTTTCTTTCTTTCAAATATGTATTCTGGATCCTAAACCACACAAACTTTTTCCTCTACTCTGATAATTTTCTTTTTCATAGTTTGGAGATTTGTTCATTTTATTTGAAGTAGATTGGCTACCTAGGTAACTCCAGACTGTAGGGGAGCAGATACAATTCTCTTATCTCATTTGATTAGGTAATGAGTGTCCTTAATTCCCCTGCTCATACTTCCTCTCAAAACTGCCCTAATTTCTGGGCAATTTCAGAAGAGATTTATTGAATCTTACTAGAGAGAGACCACAAGTCATGTCTCTTGATGCCCTCTTAGTGCCTAACACACCAGTAATAATGAGTGTGTAAAAAATCCTGCAATGAATGACCCACTTTGAAAGGGGGTAGTTTGACAGCCTCATACTGTTGGACCTTCTTGGAAAGGGCCAATGGTGAGCATGTGAAGGCCAGGACAGGTTACGAGCCTAGCATGAGGTAGTAAGCTTACTATCTGGCCTAACTAGTATAACAGTACACATGGAAAAGATCAGGCATTTCACTAGGAAAGAAAGGGGAGCAAGAAATAGAGCAGGGCTGATGGGAAGAGTTGGGATTTTAAGTATTGCTCAAAAATATAGCTTAGGTAAGAACTCCAATTCTATGTAAGTAGTGGGTCACAATCAGGGAGGAACTGAATAATTGGTTACTTCTGAAGCTGTTGTTTTTATATGCCTTCTACATATGCACTCCACAATTTGTGTTTACTGCACTCTGTGAATTCACCTGTCTGTATCACACCCCGACATTATAGCTGGGAGTAACCAACATTGACAAAGTCCTATTCCTATTCTCATGGCAGAGTTGCTTGTTTATTCAAAGATATCTATGTGAGGGACTGTGAGTCTGAGAGAAACAATAAGACTGCCTTTGCTGCTACACCTTGATCTTAGGGTTCCCTGAGCACTTTGCTTTAGGCACCTTAAAGTTTGTATTCCCTTTCGGTTTCTCTCTCTCATCCCACCCTCTCCTCCCCCCACACCACCCTCTTTCTTTTTAGACTTGTTTACCAGCCTCTCAACCACTCTTCACCAACTCTGTCACCCCAGAACATCCCACATTTCTTGTGTGCCCCGCTTCTGCAGCCCTGGTTCCTGGGTCTGCTCTTAGCATGGATGCAGAGTCTAGAGGTTGGGTAAACCTTGACAAATTCCACCCAGGAGAGCATTGCCTTGTAATAAGAAAGCACACACATCATGGTGTTTATAAAACTATTGAAGAAATGTAAATTGAAGAGGAGAGATTGCATAGAATTACTTCAACCCAAGAATCCTTCAGTTTTCTCCTACAAGGTTTTATCTGAAATGGAGTCTGGGCCTTCATAGAATGCAGATATTATAGTAATGGCGAGAGGGAGGCAGCCCCTCCAGACGATGAAGTGAAACTACTGAAGCAAAGTCATGGAGCCAGGCAGAGAGAATGAAAGGAGTCTTTAAAATTCTCATTACTATGTCAAGTGTGTAGGTCTAGCTGAGGACAATTATTGAGTTAATTGCTCTGAAATGGGAAATATTTATTTCAGTGTTCAGACTCCCTAAATCCTTAATTTAAAAGGCATAAATAGAATGGTATTTAAGTAGCCTCTGCTGCTTAAATTTAAAATTTTACTTCATTAAATGGACTTTAGAATTGTTTTCTATCTTTGAGAGTCTTGTTAACTCTGTAGGGTGGTGGGCTGCAGAGAAAACCAGAAAGAAGTGCTTTCCTCAAGAACATTTTTCTTTAAAAGGTAATTAAAGACATAGATATTTATCAAAGTAATGAGTTGTCTAAGGATTTTAGATCACAGAATGAGAGAATTTTAGAGTCAAGAAAACTAATTTTGTCAACACTTTCAGTTTCTATTTGAGAGAATTCAGGTTCAGAGATTTATTTACAATCACATAGTTTTAGAATCTAGGTCTGCCCACTCCCAGTCCAGCACTTTAATGTT